TTTCTTTTTTCATATGACATAAAACAATCTTCATTAAAATTACATAAAATTAGGATTTAGACCAAATATTTATGTATTATTATAATCAACAAGAAAAATATCTCTGGATCTACTAATGATATCAGGATGATCTAAGAATAAAAAATTGGTTTTAAAGCCAGGAATCTGAAAATATGATTAGGTCATTTTGACCAAATTTGAMTTAATCCTCATTTCGATGTGATTGGTCACAYATATCCATAGACTAAACCGTCTCATTTCAGCCTATGCAGCCTACGTGGACTGCAACCCCTAAATTGAGACACAGCCCCTGTCTGAGATCAGCTAGTTTTGGTGTGGTCTCTTTAAAAGCAAATAAGGTCCTTCACCCCACGGCCCCTCCAGGTCTCACTCCCAATGATCATTGTCCCCTTCACACCATTTAGCCATTTTTATAGTTTGACAGCAGAGTTACACCAGGGTTCCCAGCAGCAGCAACATGTAGTAACCTCCAGGGCATCCAGAGGTCAGGTCCACTGAAGTAAACACGTAATGCAAAACTGACAATGGTGTAAAGGGTTAATAAATAGTGTTTGCAAGAACTGCTGTAAAAATTTGAAGGCTTGAGCGAAAAATAAAATAGCAATCTACTTCAAAGTGCAAATTTGGATTTAAGTGACAAGCTAGAAATGCCTACTTGGGATCAACTCCCAAAGCAGAAAGCTGATTTAAAACAACTTCAACCTTTAATATTTTGAAGTTCATATAAATGTTGTTTTACATGAACCACTTTAGTAAACAATTATTTTTCAACAGTTTTTCCAAAAMTAGGCTGTTCAAAGAGCTAAAATGTGCTACTTTTATTATAACTTTTACAAAGAAATTCTTTTAAAAACAGCMAAACTTTTCCTTTAAGCCTAGAAATCCCAATGAGTTAGCAGCTCAGGGGAGCTGGCGTGTTTTCAGATCCATGCGGAAACTTGAAAAGATTGTTCTCRGCCACATCTGAGACCAACGAGATAAAGCACACTCCCACCCCCCTCCGCTCGTCTCCTTGGCTGCTCGACAGAACGGAGGGTTGTGCTGCGGGACGAAAAAGCCGGAAACGGACAAAGTCRCAGAGCAACACAGTCGTATCTCCCATGCTGCACTGCTCTCAGCCGTGGCTAAAGGCCGAGGCACACCGTGTTCAAATACAGCACAGGCAATCTGATAGAGATACAGGCCTGCATTCAAACGAACCCAACCTCAACACCGACACAATGACACGCGCGACGGAGGTCCTCGCCACTTAATCCGACCATCCACCACCCGGCACGAGTAASGGGGATGAAAGGGGCTCCGTTTCTCCAGTGAGGCGGGACCGTTTTTCCATGACACACGGAGAACCTGCTTTGTGTGTCACTGAGGGTGAGCRTTTCCATGCTTTGGTGGAAAACGTGCCCACTCGCCGACACATCGGTGAAAAGGCGATTTCTGTAATCCGGGAATGTAAGCCATGGTGTACAAATGCGCGTAAGAGACTTTGCGTGTGTGTGTCAAAAGATGCCCGCAAAAAGCTGCCTGGCTGTGTGGGTGACTGATAAGAGGCAGTGAGTGTGAAGAGATTAAAGTAGGAAGAGCAAAGAGCTACAAGAGTGCAGCACCTTATTGAGAAACTACTCATAGATTTACTTATGTCTGTAGTATTTTTAGTCATCCACTTGCTCCAATTAAGGAGCTGTTTTGGATTAGTTCAAGTTTGATTTAAATTACTTTCGTTTGGCTTTTAACGAATGAACAACCCCCAAAATACCTTAAACACCTGGATAAGAGCATACCCCACAAAAATAGATGCTGTTCTTTAACCTTTGGAGTTCATGCAAAAGTTTGGTCTCTCTCTGAATATGAACCTCAGCAGTCAAAATTATTGTAAAGAGAACTGACATTAGTACTCACTGGTTGTTACTGGCTCTGGAGACCATAAACCAACCAGTTGGTCAAAGTAGCTGTCAGGCTACCGATAACTGAGGGCTTATACAGCCATTTTGACACTGGTATTTAAATTTGAAACTCCTAACAGAATCTATAAGCATTTTTGCATCGTAAGGCCCAGGCTTTATTCTAACCGCACCCTGGTTGTGTTTGGATTGAGCGGAGTGCAGCCTTAATGGGGGCGAGATCATAATATTAAACAAGCATGAATCTTATTTCATTTAATTTGCAACAATAATGAACTACACCATCCAGCAGTCTGACGCTAATGGTGAGAGGGTGAGACGACAGGGGACGATGAGCAAATGTTAGCTTGTTGTTGCTTGCTAAAGTTATTGTTTAGTTAAACTCGTGTGGCAAGAAATTACAGTCCATGCAAACAAATTACATAAAGTTACTCTCATCGGTGTGACATAACCACCCAGGTCAGTGAAGCAATCAATGAGCAGCAGTAGTTGAYGTCAGATCAACACCAACTAAAGGCTGAACACAGGTTTAAAGCCAGGCCATCCCAGGCCTCCTGAGGCTCTGTGTTCAAATCTAAGTTAAACAAGCACGCTTCAGGCTGCTGCTAGTTAAGTTGTTAAACTAACTATCTGAGTGGTCATGTAGAGATGAATCCTTTTTGATTTTGAGAGTGAACATGTTACTTGAAAAGTTTTCATGAATTAAACTAAAAGTGGAATTAGTTAAATAAAATCATAATGAAGTTGAACTTTTATTCTTGTCCTTTTTGAAGATTGGAATCAAACCAGTAGCAATTATAAACTATTTGTATTAAATCTTACAATACTGTTACTTTTTTAAATGATAGCTTAATCCCAAATTTAATGGGGGATTCTCTTTGAATGTTTAAAATTAGGCCTGATTATTTTTGCAACATGTGTTCATATTATTTAAAAAAAAAACTAATAAAATGCAGCCAARAGGAAAGTTGGAAGCCCTGAGTGTATGTGGGAGGGGAACATATGGAGTATGTGTGGTTCCTGATTTATTAAAACTCAGTTTAGCAACCAAAGYGTAGTTATGAAGGGAGCAGAGAAAYGGTCTGTTTCGGGGTTGTTAAGGGAAGCAGCAAATAGACTTCCTCTCATATAAGATGCATTCTCCTGAAACAATCCGTGGCACAAGCATGCACAATCGATCTGCACATGGATCCAGCTCCTTCCTGTTTAGGAGAGGAGCTGACCCAAGAAGGACCACCCACTTTATTTGCACAATGAGGCAGAAATGCACAAGGTAAAGTAAAAACAGGAGACAGAGAAATCTAAAAACAACACATGGAAATAAAAAATAATTAACAGACACAAATGTATGTACAAGAAAGATTATTAAAACTTTAAATTATGTGCTAAAATATATAACTTGTTTTTAAAATATATAATTTGTTTTGAAGTAAGCTGAAAAAAATGAATATGAAGGTCAACTGAATTATAAAACATGAGGTAAAGTTACATTTTAAATTAATTGGTGCATTTTTAGTATATTGATGTTTTTATTGGATCATTTATATTTTCTGCTATTTTTAATTATGTCATTTTTGGTCCTCAGTAATTAAGTGGCACATGATTTATAGAAAAACAATAAGTGATTAAAATCGACAGAAGAAATATGCTCCAGTTTTCCTTCTTAAAGCACTTCAGTGCTAATGTTAGCCACACTTCAGCAAACTCTTCCACATTAATACGCTTCTGGAGAAATGTGAGTTTATAAAGGGTTCTGCAGCTTTCTGAGCAGAATAACTTTCAGGCTCTTCAGGTATATTAATGAAGCATTAAACACTTAAAATGTATTTTTTAAAGTGCTTTTGTTTGAATGTGTCGAGCTTGAAATTTGGGATATTTTGTTATTGAGTAGTGAAAATGTTATTACACCACCAGACACTCAGAGACCTTTCAGGTGAAGAATGTGATTACTGTATAAAACACGGAATTTAGATTAAAAAAAGATTTTGGATCAAATAAAATATCGTATTAAAAACAACAAAAAAAATAAAAGTACTTCACTGCAGAAATCCTTCACTAAATAATGCGTTTGTTAACAGAAATATGTCGCTATCAATAGATATGACACTAGTTTGTAATTTGCTAATTGCTGGTATCACAGTAAGTCACAAACAGTGACAGGTGGGAGAGAACTGGCACCTTTTTTCACACTTGAAGCAGAAAAATATGTATTGTGCTGGCTTCATTTGAATGTGTGACATAATGTAACAAATAAAAGAAACACTTTAGTTCAATAAAATAAGTAGACATTCAAATGGAATACAGCCAAGAAAATAATAACATATGAATTTAATAAATATGATCGACCTGCCACTTTTTTTCTCACTGGGAAGTTTATTTAAAGGGCGTGTTTTTAATTCTCAAATACATTTGACCTGACAATAATCCTAGTTGAACAAAATGTCATTTAATAAATAATTTTTGCCATTACTGCACCTACTGCATCTACTTTAATATTTACATATTCAAATATTTTTTCAAGTGCTGAATATTTCACCAGGGCCACCTAAATACTGGAGGTTTGAGGTCACATGATAAGCTGGGAAAAAAGTAACACTAACTCCTCAACAGTCACCCCTGAAATTCCTTAGAAGCTTTTTCCATATTTGTACATTTTTTGTAAGGTTGTCAAGCTAAAGGTAAGAACTGGAGGAAGTTGTCTGACATTGTAGTTTTCAAAATAAAAGCCTTTAGTAACTTTAGTGTATGTGGTTTGTGTTTCACAATCACAGATTATTGTTGTGTGTCTATCTTTTGATGCCCAAAGGCACAGCAGACACATGAATGGGCATTCTGACTTTAGTCACTGATTTTTGCTGTTTTCACTCTTTGTAGCAAGAAGACACAACACAATATTGAATCTTGGTAAAAGTAAAATATGTTGTATAACATCAACTCCCCCACTTTTTCCTTGGCCTAAATAAATTCCTCGCATCTTTTTTTCTCTCTCAGTGACTGTTAGYTAGAGAAAAAACTTTTGTGTAAACATTTCACCTCGAGAAAGAGATTTGTGGCGCCTGAGAAAATGAAGGCATCACTCACCCTGACAAGCATGTGAGGGAAGGGTCCTCGGGAGTTTTCAGGCACATTGATGGGAGGGATGACCCAGTCTCTCTTCTGTCGCCTCAGCCCGTTGGCGGAGGAGCCTCTCTGATGTTTTCGAGAAAACTTGATAACTCTGGGTTGGGAGTCCCACACTCTCGACAGCATTTCTTCAAAGGTGAGCTGAAAAGACCAAAAAATATAAATAAATAAAAATATGGAAACAAACAGTATTATATGAGGCCGCCTCTTGCGTTAAAAAACACTTTGTATGCTGTTTGTTATTTGCAGAATGTTTCTTTCCCTCTTCATACTGGATGATGCAAATGTGCAAAGTTGATTTTTTTTTCATGTGTGTTTGAAGCCTTTTAATGATGCAGAACAGGTGCTAATGAAACATCTGCGTAAGACAAACACTGTTTTCTACATTTGTTTTTTAAGGACGATGTTTGGCATTTTTGATCCCAACCTTCCTTTTATATTCTCATTACAGAAAATCAACACTTTATCTTTTGTCAGCTTCTTTAAAAAAAAAAAAACAACAAAAAACAAACATTGCAAAATCTTTTTGGAATTCAGTCTTCAGCTTATCTGTAGGAATGTATGAACGTGTAACCCGCCCTGYCCCCCGCCTCCTTGCGGCAATATCCTCCAGCTATGGCTGTACGGAAAAGATTGTGTTCTTAGACCATTTGCCTGGTGAAAAAGGGTTAGAAGGGTGTGTAAAACTGTGTTTTTTCCCCTCGATCCTCTGTGCTATCCTCATGTGTAATATGGTTGTATTGCTGTAATCCACATAATCCTATTGTTGAGTCTGCGCCCTGAGTACACACACACACACATTTACTAGCTGTGTGTGTTTGCCGTTGTCACCTGAAGCACAGTGAAAATCCTCCCCGCTAATCCCACCTGGACCACACAGGCGAGCGTGTACGTGAGCGACCGCGTACGTGCCGGCAGCGCCAAACATCGCCGGCTGTTTTGTCCTATCAGGGCGCACCTGCTGTGCCCAAGAGACAGGCAGACCGTGTGCTCCGCACGAGCTAAAGCAGGGAATACTTTTTCACCCCCCTCCCTTCAACTCTTGGCGTGTTTACAACAGCTGGAGAGAAAAAGGGAGTCCTGCAGGACAGCCAGCAGAGGGAYGAGCTGGGTGGAAGTGCAGAGTGGGTGGGGGGTGGGGGGGTAGTGTGGCTGGAGTCTGGACCAAATGTGTGTTTTAGATCAAGTAACTTGTGTTTCAGAACACTCATTGGAAACAACTGGTGAGGGGTAAGGACACCTGGTGGAACTGCAGTCTGTGAATTTGTGCGGTACGTATCAATTTGACTGTTTTTGCAAATGCTCAACATTAAAGGGGCAATATCATGTAAAATCAACTTTTTTGAGTTTTATATCATGTTATAATGTTATAATCTCATAAAAACATGCCCAAAGCCTTGCTTTGACTCTTTCATGCATGTCTGAGAAATACTGCAGTGTTTTTAGGAAGCCATGCTGAGGAGCAAAACGACAGATGGGGACCAGAAACGCCTTTTAGGATGAGAAACACCTCTGGGACGTGTCTTTAAGCCAAACTTCCTCATGGCAGAGCCCCTCCCCCCCCACACACACTCACATACCCAACCCATGACTCCTGCAGGCTCTTAGGTGAAAGTGAAAGTGAAACTGTCTGCTGAGCTCTTAACACTATTTCTCACTCAGTGAAGCTCTTCCCTTTAAACAATGAAACAGCTCAGTTGGGAGAGTGTTAGACTAAAGATCCCTGGTTCATGTCCTGGGTTTCAGCAGGTGTTGGACTATTTTTGAGGCGGCACGATGGCTTAGTTGGTAAAATTATTACCTCCCAGTGAGAAGGCTGCCGGATTGAATCCTGGCTAGGGATCTTTCTATGGAGAGTTTGCATGTTCTGTCCATGCATTGGTGTGTTTCCTTCGGGTACTCAGGTATCCTCCCACAGACCAAAAAACATGAGTCTTAGACTAACTTGTAACTYTAAATTCTCTTGGTGTRAGTGAGAGTGAATGGTCTCTAYGTATCYCTGTGATGGACATGTCCAGGGTGTACCCCACACCTCGCACAGTGACTGCTGGATATGGGCACCAGTGWCCCCCGTGACCCTGAAAGGAGGAAGCYGGTTAAGCTACTGATTGGATGAATGTTGAGAAATGACAGGGTTGTAGCWGTTCTAGTTAAACCTTGAACAAAACCTTATTATCTAAACTGCACAAGGTTAAGATTTGTTTATGTGCTCTGAGACACAACCACACCAAATTTTAAAGCAATACCTATCAAACTGACTAAATTTTGTTTTGTAAAGACTGTTGGCTGTGGTAGCCATCTTGAATTGGTGTGACTCAAAAGTTAATGTTATTGGTGTATATCCAGTCTGAAAGTTTAATTTAAACATGTTCATGTTTCATGTTTTTCATGCTTTTCATGTATTGTAAATGGCTCTCAGTTATCTAAATTTAATACTATTTCTGTCAAATTGACTGCATTATAGGTATTAGATATAGGTAAATAATTAGTGCAAAAAGTAAGGACATTTGTGTTTGGTAGATTATTTAATACATTTTATAGCAGGCACCTGATTGGCAGCACCAGGGGTAGAAGCTCAAACAAGAGTCAGCAGCAACAACATAATAAGCTGTTTGGCAGAGAAGATTTGGCAAATATTTCATGTGCACAACACACATACTTAACTCTACTGTTCATCTTGCAAATGCATGTTCCTTGCAAATCTGGCACYATTTAAAAGGGAAACTAACAGGCTTTCAAATGGTATAAGATTTATTGCCAAGAAACATTGTTACATAAATGAAATAATCTACCAAACACAAATTTCCTTACATTTTGTAATAAGTTTATAAAGGTCAGTTGGCAGTGACAGCCATCTTGAATTGGTTTGTCTCCAAGAATTAATTTGTAAAAGTGGTTTATGAGCTGCACTATATTGCTAAAAGTATTGGCTCACCTGCCTTGACTCACATATGAGCTCAAGTGACGTTCCATTCCTAATCCATAGGGTTCAATGGGACATTGGTCCATCCTTTGCATCTAGAACAGCTTCAACTCTTCTGGGAAGGCTATCCACATGGTTTAAGAGTGTTTATGGGGATTTTTGGCCATTCTTCTAGAAACCGGGTGATGTCACATACTGATGTTGGACAGAAGGCCTGGATCTCAGTCTCCACTAACTAATCCCAAAGGTGTTTTATCAGGTTGAGGTCAGGACTCTGTGCAGACCAGTCAAGTTCATCCACACCAGACTCTGCCATCCATGTCTTTATAGACCTTGCTTTGTGTACTGGTGCACAGTCATTTGGATGGGTGAGCAAATACTTTTGGGAATATAGTGTACTTTGCTAACAGACAGGCTAAGCTGACTCCAGATAATGCTCATAAATTGTATTTGGAATCGGTCTCAGCCAATCTAATGGGCTCGACACACAGGAGGCGACGTCGCTCGCTCTCCATTCATTTTCTATGGAGCTTGTGYGATGAGGCGACAATCGCTTGCCCTCCTTCAGCTAAGCAACCGGCGAAAATAGTGCACGTGAAATTTTGCGCTTGTACACGTAGACGTGCACACGCGAGCTTGCGACGCGACATATGAAAGTTGAAAAATGTTCAATTTTTGTTGCTGTCGCTTAGCATACAACCAGTCATCGAGGGTTTCAYTGACTGACCAATGAGCGGAGAGTATGCTACACACTGCAGTTAGCTAACACTTTCACCAAGTGATTACTAAAAAAGGCAGCTTTGTGGGAATTTGTTTGCACCAGGGTGAAGTTATCCTGTAAGTTTTTCCTCATAAAATTGTATCTTGGTGTGKGTTTGTTTTTCAATATCATTAGCATYGCAAGATTTCTTTAGTTTACAYGTCCGTAATGCACCCCCCCTTTTTGTGAACCACCAATAACCTTTACAAGAGGCAGTAAAAGAACCAATCAAATTTTKTGAAGACAAGCGACCTGAGAGCGCGATTCGCAACGCTGCCATCGCTATATCACGTCCYGTGTGTCKGGTTTCAACCTGRCTGYGATAACAGCYGTWAATCGCTGTAGTTTGTYGCTCCTTGTGTGTCRAGCCCTTTAGTTGTTTTATGYTTTTCATTGTTGGTTAAGGTGACTGCAAAAGGTATCCCATTGGAAATGTTRATTCAGTGTTGATTTTAGGTTAAGATTGACTATTGATGGTTAATCAACCATCAAACAATCATCCAATTCTAGCCAAATAACCAATGTTGAAAAGATGCTATTGAATCAGTGTTGTTTCATGGTTGAATTCTAATGATTGAAATGTCAACATCTAATCAATGTTGAATTAACACTGATATATTATCAGTTATGGTTGAAAACGTGGTTTCAACAATTACTAACCGGCCACTTGTATAATTTCAACATGGATTCAATATCATACCTAACCATTTTTCACTCATATTTTGCTTTCTGGGTAAGTAACAATTGTTTTATGCCAGTTTGATTATGAGTTGTTTATAAGATATTTTGTTAACAGACACACACAAGCATGGGCAAAAACATTATTCTCCACATTTCAGAAGCAACAAGGGAAAAAAGAAGACTCAACAGAAAAACAGCCAACAATGATGATGAAAGCTCATTTGTGTGACATTCTGTGTGAGAACACAAGAAGTTATGCCACAGCCCTGTGCTCCGTCATCAATGCTCTGAGTACAGCTCCTCTGATAACAGCCTTATCTTTCCCAGCAGCTATCAGCAGAAAAATACAATGAATGAATAGACTCCTCGCACAACAATCTGCCTGCTGATGAAGACCCGATGATAACAAGGTTGAAATATTTCATTGCTCGGGCATCAACATTCTTTCAAAGAGAAAAAAAAAATTAAGAAATGAAGAAGGGAGACAGTCAGACAAAGAGACAGACAGCCGAAGAGAGATCTCTCTTATTGTGAGTCTGCTCGTGGATGATATCTGCATGGCGGCGGCACGTGACTGTCACGTTCAAACAGCATGGCAGATGAAATGCTGTTGGCATTATGACAGGAACAGAATTACAAAGAAAAGACAGAAAAATCAAGTTCTCAATGGGCTCATGTTCTTATTAGGGWATGGGAATGGCATTTTGTCTGTTTTATTCTGTGTGTGAATACACTTTGTATGCCTGGGCATACACACATGGGAGATCACGTGTGCTG